ACCGAAGGAGTGGGAACTTGGAGATACAGGCAAATCCGAAGTGTAAAGTATCAGCCAATGATGAAGACACTAGACGGCATCATCTTGCAACGGCCGACTACGCACTGTCATGACATGTTCTCAAAAAGAGTAAGTCAATGCTGCACGAAGCCAAATGAAACTGGAGATGATGGCAGCCAGTGCGACACCTCGCAATATTATGGGAAATATGTTGTCTGCACTGAGTAGTGATGTTTCGGCCCACTTTCCCAAACCATCATCCATTACAAGAACTTTTGTGAGTCAGCGAAAAGGCGGTCATTTGCATTGTCCAACTGGCACAAATTTTGCTATCCCTGAGCAGGACTCCGAACTAATTCTACATGATTCAGGTGTGGATGATCCAGAAAGGATTCTAATGTTAGCTGATAAAGAAATTATACTTGAATTGTGCAGATACCATATACGGGCGGCACTTTTGATAAAGTTCCCAACGCGTTCTGTCTGCTGTATACGTGGCACGCCAATGTGGGCAAGAGTTATCCCGCTTACCTTTACATCCAGTTGCAGACTTCTAAAAAATGTTTTCCAATAATGAAATTACTGTTATCGGATTTATGCCAACAAAGGTGTTAGTCGAATTTGAGAATACTTCTATTGACGCTGCAAGAATCGCATTTCCCGGCACAGTAATTAAAGGATGCTAGTTCCACCTGCGCTAAAGTATCATCACAAAAGTCTGCAAAGTCGGCCTAAAGAGTGCTCTTGAAATGGATGTCAAAATTCAACTATAGCTGAAGTCGCTGGCTGCACTTTCCTTAGTCCCAGTCGCTGAAGTGAGAGTTTTGATGTGCTTGCTAGCACAATTCCAAATGAAGTACCATAGAATGCGGTGTTCAATTATCTTTTCTCTATTTACAATGCATGGTCAGCAGGCCCAGAACCGCAATACCCACTGCAAATTTGGAATCATCACGGTGCCGCACTTGATAGGTCACCGGAAACCACCAGTTTCTCCGGAGAAATTCACAATGCTTTGAATTGCTTATTCCACTACACTCATCTAAGAGTTATGGCATTTGTTTGATGGACTACAGAGGGACTTGGTATTCCACAGACTTACACTGGCCAATGCGCATGCAGGTTGCTCTGAGATGAGGAATAAGAGGTGCATTGAAAGCTGCCTTTGCTTCTTGTGTTTGAGATTATGACTCAACAGGTAACCGGTTTAAATACTTGCGAAGCGTAGCTAAGTTGCAATAATTACCCTTGTTGTTCTTACCGGTGTTAAACCTAGCGTTAAACTATTTGCGCCCAACGGAAAATTGTACCCGTAGGAACAAATCCTGTACCATTATATTTCAACCTAGGTTCCGTCTCTTTCAATAGGAAATCTTTTTTTACGAGTGATAACCCGTTCTCGCATTGTTTAGGTGGGCAATTGTATTGAGGAAAACGCAGTCCAGATCAATGCATGAATAGTCCCTCGTACTTTTTGCGTACATAAGTGGTAAGACTTGCAAACGGCATTGGTGTTTCATGCATACTAGGGTTGTGGGACTAACGGCGCGCCTCGCGGCTGCACGAGAGATCGTAAGCATTTCGATAGCCTTCCATATCGTCCCTCATTTCTGACTCAACTTAAGGCTATGGTATTACGGGATAACTGGTTGCGCCCTCACCAGGATATTTGCCAGGTCGCTTGTCAGAGTTTTTTTTGTCACAGAATCAGGAGACTTCTCAAATGAACGGATGACATAGTCACAAAGGAGGCCGTAAACAAAACCGGTACCTTCTGATTAGCAATTGCGAATTCATGTGGAGGAATAATTGTACTGACAACTTATAAGTAGTCCGTTTCGGTTTGCCATATATATGAATAAGGGGCATCCACTTCATCGTGACGTCGTCTTTGGTAATTTGTGTGCGGAACCAGGTTTCATTCATAAAGTTGAGGTCCTACGCGTATGATACGTCTAATCGTTTTTTCTATCTTATGCTGGCAACAGTTTGTGTCCTGAATAATCTCGTGCTTAAGGGATAGGGTGTGATCGCCAATTTTGCGGGCCGGCTGAGTGAAACCATCTGAAGTGTTCCCCTTACGAGGTGGGACTCAGTTTATCGGGTCTGTTGGTTGCTTGGAGGACGCTGCGTTGAGCCGGAGCTCCAAAAGTAGTCTGCTACGAAATGCATGCCAGAATTTTAACAATCGCACTTGTCTAGCCTGATTGAAGCACTTTTGTACACTGTGTCTTGGTAAGCTAGGTGGTGGAGCAGAAAAATGCAGCCTAATCAGAGGATCGGCCCAAGTGTTGAAGATCTGCCCAATTACCCCTCCCCCCAGATGCAACGTTGTATTGTAGCGAAAACGACGCGGGGGCAGAGCGTGTATTGCCACAAGAACGTTCCACTGACAAGTTACAACCCCCTACAGATTTGGACCGTGTTTCTTTCCTACGACGCAGCGCGGATGAGAATTTTTGTGACGGGCCATTCCAGGTGCCTACGAGATTGGGCTTCGAGACAACCCTCCATATTTCCATCCCGTACCTCCGCTTCGCTACATCCGATTGTGGTCGGCCATGAGTCGTTCGAAAGCTCGCGATTTGCTCTCCCGTGGCTGCATCAATCGACCCGCGTTTATACATGTGGGCTTCGATAGCTGCGTATTTGTCTGATTCATTGCGTTCTCGACAAATACGTCCTCCATAGTTCTGGGCCTAGACTCGTTCACAAATGCTACTCGTGATCCGCTGTCGGCTCGATCCCCACCGCTCGCAGAGCCTTGTCTCGTCTCATCCATTGCGCCCGTAGTTAATTCTCTACACTCCCGTTTTGTTGTCGTTCCGGTTCACGAGTAGTCACTGGCTTCTGTCGCCCTACCGTATGAGCGGCAGTGGGGTGACGTTCATTCCGGTAACGCAGAGATGTCTTAGACATTAAGACACTACAAGGGAGACTGTCCAGAAGCTCGTTTTTATTGCGACTTGAATTCCTAACGTGAGTATTAAATAAAGTACACGGGTTGCCCTTTATTTTTTCGCAACCGTAAGTACAGAGGTATGTGAGCACCTTGTTCCATGATTCTTCATTTTGAAACGTAGCGCAAAAGTCATCAAACACTGCCCTTAAATCAACGACGGGGACAATGGTCAGTGCAGCCAGAGGCTTGGGTTGGCATTCTCGGCTGAGATCGATTTCAAAGGAAGTCTTTAGGCCCACGTTGCTAAGATTCCTTCTGAGGCTTTGGCTCAGGCGAAAATAGCCGATTTCGATTTTAGCGTCTTCAAAAGGATGGCAAGCGAAGTCAGAACATTAACGATCTGCTGACATACAGTGGTTTACAGTCGCGGATTTGTTGAGACCTCGATAAACTGTAGTAGGCGAGCGATGCTTAGTCTGTGTAATTTCGTAGATGCATTTGCAACACTGCGCAGTGCGGTACATTCCCAGCGGTCGAACTAACGAGCACCTTCTGTGTGAATGCCATAATTGTCACCATTTGCTAATTTCGAAGGCATAGATCAAAAATTGGATCATGTAAGTGCCACAAATAGATAAGATGGGCATTTGTGACAATAAGACCAGATTGATAATATGTGTTCATTTTTAGTGTGCGCAACCTTTTGTGTCCGCAATATCCCTGTCCACTTTCATGTCTGTGCGCTTTTTGCTGTCCGAAATTTCAGGGTGCGCTTCCTTCGTGTGCGCTTTCATCATGGAACCGTCATTTGTGGAAGGTCATTAGGTCGACTGATGCCGGTGTGCTGTAGGACAAATGCAGTGTTACCACAAGTGCACTTTGATCGAAAATATGATGTGTTTTGGTAACAACTAAGAGCTCACGGTGCGCATTGTTTCCAGCCCATATCCAAGTATGGATTATGCCTTGAATACTCCAGGGATGTATTAGCCACATTCAAGAATCGTAAGAAGGGAGGGATTTCTTCAGCAGAGTTATGTGTGTGCAAATCCTCGGAGATGGTGTGAAACGCAACAACTCTACGCAGTCTATCCACTTGATGTAACCTCCTAGCAAGATAGGTGAAAGTGGAAGAATCTTACTAATCTCACACTTCGCGCCAGCTGTCGGAGGTTCTATACACTCTACAGTAGCGCATTAGCAACTGTTCCACTTGGTATCATTCGCTCCCAACTTATAGCCGGGTGGAGTCCGGTATGCTATATGGATTACATCTGAACGCAAGTCTTGCATTCAGACGCTTCAGCAATTAGTCGCGAACATAAAGCATCGCAAGTGGCTTGCAGGATATCTCCCTGACCGGTCTTGAACGTATGACTAAGTAATCTATCGAGAATGTAGTTGTGGCAAGCACAAAGTTGGAGTTAGGAGCCCGGAAAATTCGCATTCATAATGAAAGCGTTTGGAGGGGCAGCAAAAATGCAACCAATCCTCAACCACATTCGCCCTAGACACCAACCATCTGAATTCACGCGCCAATTCAACTAAACAGCTACCTCGATTTGTCAAGCTCGTGGATACCCCTGTTGCACCAAGACGTTACTGCATACACAAGCTGTTAGTTTAGACAAAAGAGGTGAAATAAATTTGGGTTGAAACATTGTGATCGAACACAGGAAAAGAGAAACGGTTTTGCGCATGACACCCAGTGCTACTTATGCAAACGAAGCAAAGCACTGGCAAACGGATCCAACTCACCGGTGAGCGTAGTGTCTTCCCAAAGTGATCATCTCCTGCGCGTTCAATGTCTGCTCCGTTCCAGTTAGCTGGTCTATCAGACACTTCAGCTGTGCGTAGGTAAACGTTCCAGTCGCATCTGGATCCTGATTACGGCCAAATGCCTGCAGCTCCTCACATCTGTCTTTAGCGAATGGTTTCAGTTTCTCGTGAATCAACTTGATATCGGAATAAGGAAATTCAGTACAGTGCTTCTCCATATAATCCAGAGCGTACTCGTCTGCGTCGATTAGCTCAAACTTAAATCCATTCGTCTCGAACACACCACCTACATACAGATCCGCCGGTTGATAGTAGCACGGAGGTTGGGAACTGAAACGCTCAAAGTTCGGTTTCTTGATCCGGCCTCGTTTCAGAAATAAGCCACCTTTGAAACCTGTCAGTTTAATGTGAGGGAGCTGAAGTGGTCGGGGTCTGTGCATAAATCATCGTATCAGTAAATGTGAACTATTCAAAGCGTCACATAATAAGCATCGGAAACATTCTGAACTCCACGAATTCTACTGCACTTCAGCGCACTGGATATACCTTGCACCAGTGGCATCTCCAGAATTCTAGCCATGAACAACATACAGGGAAACTCAAACGACAAAGACGGAAAACCCGAATCTGCATATGTTCAATAAGGCTAGTCTCTTCAGAGAATTGTGAGAGGAGAGATCTTGGTTGAATGTTAGGGTCATTGCATCAGAATCATAATGTAGTCCAGCCTACTTTGGCGACCATTCAAAATCATCCCAAAGTTTTCTTTTCATGTGTAATGTCCCTATGCATGAACCCGTCTATGGCGACCACCTGTCCAAGGCGACCACATTTTGTCGGTCCCTTGAGTGGTCACCTTGGACAGGTTGGACTGTAGTAGGATTGTGGAAGGTGGTGTTGCCAGCGGACAATACCCATCTGCCACAGGCGTTTCTTACTAATCCACGATAAGGGTTCCAATACCTCATTCAAGAGTGAGACAAAGAGGAACAACACATCAGCCCGTTCATAGCAAGGAAGGTCAGCTGATTGATGGGGTGGAGCGTGTTCAGGAGCAGTCTGGTTCATCCCTTACTTCTAAACCACTTCATGTGCGATTAACGTAACATTACGGTCAAGAAGCCGCTGAAAGAGGGTCACAGCCTTAAATTGTATCCGCACTGCCGATCCGGATCCTTGTGCCGTTGTGGGGCACTACTTATGAGTAGTATGGATATCAACGAGGGCGCAAAAAGGAAACAGGTAAATCATGAGATGCCGGCAGACGAAGATGTGGTGGAAAATCAAACGGACGACGTACACGAGGGACAAGAGGCTCGGTAAATGAAAGGTCTCAACGGCGCATAGCTCCGGAAAGGTGCCACGAAAGTCATACGCAAAGTGGACTCGCGTTCCTACGTTCGAGTTTTTATGTTAACCAGACATGCGTTCTCCAATAAAAAAAACTTGTCCGCCCCTCATTGCGTTCTCAACACCGTCATTAGGATGTAGGCTTCGGTGAATTAACGTCCTGTAAGAACAGGTCTGAAGGTAAGGGACTGCTCGCAGCCAACTGAGATGTATCAGTTATAGTGGTCAAATTCATAAACGCCTGCCACGAAAATTGCGCTAATCACATGTGTGTTGTATTACACGACTTTAAGAGTCCACAGCTGTTTCGTAGCACTCTGAAGCTGTTAGTCGTGATCCGCATAAGTACTTGTACTGTGTACAAATTCGAAGTACCATTTCGCTGTGACAGATCTTGGTTGGTCACTTCTCGTCAGCTTGCCATGTGCAGCCTAGTTAAGTCTATTATCCTGCATGTGCTGTGCATTTTATGTGTACAGTCCAATCCCCACATGCCCTGTGCAAAGTCGCGGTATGGCTGATGTGTGATAGGTCGCGCTAACTATGCAGTACCTGCTAGCCTACGCGCTTACAGTTAGCACGGAGGAGTGATATTTGATATCTTTTCTGTCCACTGGTCCAGGTTCGGCTCTTTTAATCGAATCAATAGAAAAAGACAGGGGGCCCACGTAGATTGAGCTGATGAAGGAAATACCGGCCCTTGAGTATGCGCATTGGCTAATAGAAGACAGATGACAGGAACCTTTAGACTTACAGCCAAGCCCCGCAAAGCAGTAGATAGGAACAGTAGGAAATTAGAAAGACACATGACAAAGAGAAGATAGTGATGATCGACCATCGGAAAGAAGCACTACGGTCAACACCGGTGGAATTGAAGGATCTACTTCTATGGATGTACGGCTATATGTGTGTCGAAAATCACTTGTAGAGACGGCACGCATGTATACACTGGCTTTATCATGAGAGAACAATATGCATGTTTACAAAATACGTTTAAATGTACCCGTGCTCACCATCAACGACTTTGACTAAAACACAATATCAGGCCCTTTGCCAACAGCGGTGCGCGTGCTAAAGCCAGGGTAAAGAACTGATATGGATAATGTCGAGCTCATGGGGAGAAGTTTGCGAGCGCCGTGGCCGTGGAAGCAGAACCGTACCACACTACAGTGAACGGATGTATTAACTCTACGAAAACGCAACAGAGCGTGTAGCAACTAAACTATTCACACAAGCCAATCAGAAGCAAGCACATGCAATGACCATTAAGTGGGCGTATGATTCACGACCAATTAATAGCGATGAGGATGAGAGTAATATGGCAACATCACAGCGAGTAACGCACCAGGAGTTGATTTTTGTGGCAGCGTAACTCACGAAATCCAAGGGTCATGTGAATGTACTAGAGGATATACTGCCCCTAAGAGCTGGGTGAGCAACCTTAATCCAATCAGTCTGAGGTCCCTTAATGAGCGGATCTGGCTGGATGTCGAGCATCGATACGGACCCATCGTCACGAAGTTGACGTGGCACATCGGCATGTTACTGTAAGGTCATTCTAAAATACATGTCGCGTGAATGGATTGCGATGCGCAATCTCAGTGGGGACCGCGATTTGCATTGGAGTGAACCAAACAGGTCAGTCACTGGGACTGTGACTGATTATGTTGCTGTGGCTATCTGCGTCTTTCGCTAAAAATGTCTCGCCAGTTCTGTACTGGCTAAAATGAATTGATGAAATCTTTGCATCATATGAAAAAGGTTGTCTATTAAATATAACAACTGCATTTGTTCAAGCTTTCTCGATTGATTTCAGATAAATTTATGACACAGTAGCAGGAAGAAAATTTTCTTACCGGAATTGCGTATTGGTGGCTCGAAAATGGAGAAACTGTCGTCCGCCAGGTAACATGAGATGACAAACAGGCGATCACGATCTAGTACCTTGTCGGTAACCAGGCGGGCGTAGAAACGTAACACGAAAGATTCGAGGCCCTGTTTATCTTTGGTCATAAATTTGACAAAATCACCCTTTGGTGCAACTGGTATGATGCTTTTGCAATTGGCCAAAGAGTCTTCCTCAGATCCCCAGCCGTTATATGGAGGATTTTCACGCGTTATTGTCACTCGGTTATCTTGTATCGGGGGTTTCACTGGAGTGAAATCGGCTGTTGAGAATGAGATCAAAGAGAGGTGCAACCAGTCCTAGCGGTAAAGGGTCGGAGTACATGAATCAAAAGAAGAAAGCTGTAACAGACCGCCTAGCATGACAGACTTTTATTCGGATGGGAGAAGGTAGGAGCCGTCGTGGGTCTTTGTAATTTTAACTCAGAGGATGTGGAGACAGTCTGGTGGAAACCCTTAAAAAGATAGAAGGGACCACTGTATCATGCAGTGCTTAAGAACAACCGCCACATAATTAGCCACACTTACTGTATGATCCTGAGATAGGTTACTAGCCTCAGTGGCAGAAATAGTCCGATCACAATGGGTGTGAAGCAGCGGCTAAAGTGCGACGGTTGACAGACACAGTTACTCATGGAAACCTGCATTTCGCGGAAGATTTTCCCGTAAGGCATCTCAGTGCAGTGACGAAATCAGCGTCGTGAATGTGTTTTCGCACGCATCCGTATGGATGACAAGAGCTCAACATGAAGAAAGAAGAGAAAGCGATATGCAAAACTACACTTGAAAGGGGGGACGATGTATACATAAACGATGTGGGTGATTCCATGCGACCGGGTGACTGAGCATACAGTACACCACTACACCATTTCTCTGCCAAGTTGTCATCTTGGGCAACAGCAATAATCTGAGGGGGCATCCAACATGAGTCTACTCAATTAATTGGAGCCGTGCGTACGCCACTTACTTGTACAGGTGTGTAGGTGTGCGTGTATAGCCCGTCGACATAACTGTCCACGACCAACTGGACGAGGCAAGTTACGGACTTTGGTATCCGATGACAACAACCTGCGTTATGCACAGGAGACACTGATAAGTGTCACGAAATCCTGTGTTAGGTTGCAAGGGTAGTGTGTGACTGCTGTAACACGGAAACAGCAAATTCCTCATCCTTGCTACTTGGAGATGTCTGCGTCTTTGGTTGCGCCATCTCGTTACAATGTGATGGCACAGTAGCACGATCCCCAAGTAGCAAGGATGAGGAATTGGTTGTTTCCGTGTTACAGCAGTCACACACTACCCTTGCAACCTAACACAGGATTTCGTGAAACTCATCAGTGTCTCCTGTGCATAACGCAGGTTGTTGCCATCGGATACCAAAGTCCGTAACTTGCCTCATCCAGTTGGTCGTGGACAGTTATCTCGACGGGCTATACACGCACACCTACACACCTGCACAAGTAAGTGGCGTACGCACGGCTCCAATTAATTGAGTAGACTCATGTTGGATGCCCCCTCAGATTATTGCTGTTGCCCAAGACGACAACTTGGCCGAGAAATGGTATAGAGGGCAGGAAGGTAGAAATATACGGCAAACACCTTGCGTCATCATTCATTGTTCACTGTTAGAGTAGCTGTGCTCCGGGAGTCATTTAAACCGGACTCTTCGGTAACTACTCGTTGACTGGTCTGAAACTCTTCGACTCTTGGTATTACCGGATTAAGGTGCATCTATTTTGGTGGTACTGTGACATATTTGCTGGGCTATGATATACACCTCCAGAGCACCTGAGTCGTTGATTTATTAGTAAACGGAAAAGTCCCACAAGTATGGTTAACAGTGGTATGGACATCCGCCTTGGGGTTGCCCTAACCCACCTATATTACGAGATGTAGCCTGTGTACCTTGACGGACGATCTAATGTGACGAAAGTCGCACGTCCAGAATTAACCTACACGACTGAGGTCGGCCTTTTCTGCATGCCTCTGTGTTAACACTGTGGTGCGTCCACCAAAACGATTTTCATTTTATCACTGTTTTCTATTCACCACGGTGTGGTTCTCATTCTGGCCATCCTACGGGACTCGCTAAGCATCCGCTTTTTTACCCGTAATATACCATTGTTCCATACGTTCACTTACTCGACTCTTGATCAATTAACCCCACATGGGTATTGCATGCGGTAGAGAGCAGTGTTGGGAGCAAATATCATTAGTAAAAGCAAGGTTCTTCATGGGTGGAGGCAAGGAGCTGGGCCTCAAATCTCATTAACCGGGTTGATTGAATAAAGGATACTGTGGGTGTCTCAGTTTTATTTAGATGTTGCTCAAGCTTAGGTCCCCATTGGACCGGACGAAGTCAGCAACAGCAGAGAAACTACAGTTCCCTATTCGACAAGTACTGGTCGTGCTGGAAGCGTCAGTATTGGATCGGGCCGGCTGACGACGTTGGGCCAAATAGCATAAAACGCAGTCAGAAAAATTCCAAACCTGTGTTATGTTAAACTAACAGGGAAACCAAAAGAGGAAATTAGGATTAGACCAGTCAACTTGTAGAGAATGCAACGCGGTGCAGACGTGTGTATATGTGTTCTGACCCTCAGTTCCGCTGCGCGCCTTCGTCCATAACTTGTCCGTGGTGGGTGGTTTTTGCATAATGCGTCCTTTGTCAGTAGCGATTCACGGTTTCTTGGATTACCTCACGCCTTCCGGTTTTTCAACATACTACCCATTAGCAGTGCACCGCAATAGAACCAATGCTCTAACACCCATCTTTCTGCTTATATTTTGTTAAATCTAGGGAGCTATCAAAGGAACACTAAGAGGAAGTGTAAAAATGTCTACCATGATTATAACAGATATTAAATAAAACCATTATCGCAAGTATCAGGTAACTAGGAAGCCACTCCGCATCACTGTATCCTTTTATACGGTAAACCTATTGTTACACAACGTAACGCTTCTTTATAAGGCCAGATTCTTGGTGCAGTTCCTCTACAACTAAGATGGTCCAGCGTAAACTGTCTCACAGCTGTGGTCGTTGGATCGGTTCGGATCTGTATTGAGTGTCTTTTGCTTTGCAACAAGGCGTTTGGCTTCAGACGGAAAACAAAGGGTAACCTTTGAATTGTCACGTTTGGGAGCACCCTGCACATCTTCCGACCACGGCTAAGTGAAGAATAAGGCCAGACGACACTTGGGTTTGGTAAACCAATTAGTAAGGATGAGTTCCGTAGTGAGATTAACAAAGCAGGTAAGTTCAGTTGCTGAACGCGTAAAGGCGCTGATCGGGTGTTGAGATAACTTTGATCTTTGAATGAGAATAACAATAGCTTCAGGTCGCGACTGTGTCACCCTGAACATCATCGATGTTCACTTGCGAGGAGGTAACGTTAAGAATCATCAACCCAACTGAACTAATCCAACCAAGGTTCCCCAAGAAGTTCTGACTGTCTTTATTGCGTTATTATTATGTCTAAAACCGTGACAGTTGGGTCAAATTCTGCATAGGTGATTCAGAGCGCTGTGATCAAGAAAAGGTCGTCTCGAAGCCAACCAGTGCCCAATGTATCATTCCTTATCCTTTGGTCTCCATATCGACGTTCTTCTGTCCATGAATAGCCTCTACATAGCCAAGGTTATGAGATGTTGGTGATGGAGTGTCGATCCAGTGGCGATATAAACTGTTAAATTAATGGCATTCGACAAAGCGATAGATGAGATTTTCCATGAAGGAAAACTAGCCAGAAAATCCGTCCGCTGAGTTCCATTTCAACTTTGAAACTGTGGTTTGTACCCGTACAACGTGGCGCTACGCCGCCGGCCCTTGGAATAACCTATATATTGTCATTTGTGTGCAATGACGTCGAACAAGGTCACCCAACGGACTCCAGTGTGCTACATTCGTCGATGATATTGATTAATTAGTTCAGCCACACCGCGTGCTTATTGTTTTGCCTCGCATTGACCAATCAATAGTTACTCACTCATGCTGTAACTCGTGTGTCATGTCAGCCATGTCGCACTGCTTCGCCCGATACACCTTGTTTCGTGCTCTGTCTTGTTCTTGCTTAACTGCGGTCTGGGGGCGTACTTTGTTTGAATACGTTATTACGTATCATTGGCGACGGATCCAGATGAACCCTATCATTAATCCATCTGCTGACTTTTGGTCTTTCGCTGAGGACAAATCGACCTTATCAAACTGAACGAGATGGAAGAAATCATTTACTAACTACCTAGAACTACTGCCTGTTTTGAACGCTATGGTTTTATTTTCGGAGTCCCACACAATACGACTGTTCAGAGAAGTGCTGGCAGATGAAGGGTGGCTACATTATGATGCACTACTCGTGGATAATTTTAACACCATTACATCGGCCTTTGTTAATTATACCACACTGTGGGGATTGAAACAGAATGTTCATACTGTCAGATACGCTTTTCAAGACTTGTAGAGAAACCGAACGAGAGCGTCAACGACTTCATTGCACACATCCATCAGTTTATTCCTGAGTGTAAATACAATGAGATTCTGCCCGACAAATTTGAAGAAGAAATGAAAGTACAGTGCTTAATTACGAGGATAATGGATGAAAGTGTATGGAAAAAGTATTATCTTTGTGCGGGTGAGATATTACAAGGGAGAATGCCTGTCTAATCCGTCGCCAGAGGGAGAATATTTCGCCCCAGCTATGTGAATTCACTGCCTGCCCAGTCGTCGATGCTGTTCACGCAGTTGCTAAACCACGGACACCAGAGGAACCTCGAAAACAGTTCGTGTGTTATCGCTGCGGGATGCAACGTAATCATGTTTCCGAATGTCACCACAAAGAAATCATCTGCCAAAAAGGTGATAAAATAGGCCGCCTAGTCCGCGTGTGCAGTTCGAAAGCCGCCCCACCAACTAATCTCACTCAATCGAGGCGCCGTAATAAGCCCGCTTACGGAGAAAAACGTTCTGGTAGATCCAGGCAACGATCTAAATTCCGCCTAGTTGAGTACCGTATCACCCAACAAGTACCCACCATATACGATTTGTCTGATGATCGAGAATGAACCGATCGTTTTGGAACTGGATGCAGAGACTGCAGTTACCACTATAAACAGTGCGTCAATAAAGAGTTTGCCGCCCTTATGACCATGTGCCTCCAGATAGCAAACCTACACGGGAGATCCGATTAGTGTCTTGGGAAAGTGCATGGTTAAAGTCGAGCACGACGAGCAGGAATTAACTCTACCTTTGATCGTATTACCTTGGAAAAGACCAAATCTTTTGGACAGAAATTGGACCCGACACTTCCCAGAAACGATGTAGATTAGTGAGGTCGTGATCAATGACAGCAGTCTAAACGATCTGTTAAAGCAATTTTCTTCTGTATTCTAAAATATGTTGAGAAAACTGAAACATTGCAAAGCTTCTATCAATCTACTGGAGAACACCAATGCCAAGTTTTACAAATCACGAACATTACCGTACGCTATGCGGCCTAAAGTTGAAGTAGAATTACAACGGCTACAATCCAGCGGATTGTGAATAACATCGTAAAGGAGATACTCTTTACTTGTGCTTTTTTGGATTTGGTTTCTGGCCGGAGTGATGCTGAACATTCAAAAAAACTTCGGACGGTATTGGAACGTTGGGAATCGAATGGTTTGAAACTGAAGAAATCTAAGCGTAAGTTTGTTTGAGTCCGTTTTTCAGCTTGGCTACAAACTTAGAGAGGTCTGCATGCTTTGCAGGATAAAATATCCGTAATTATCCAAGCACTGCAGCCTAAGAATGTTGATAAACCCCGATCAATCTTAGGAATGTAATCACACTATCGTCATTTTTACCGAGCGCCACAATTAATTTAGCTCCTTTGAACGCACTGCTACATGGAAACACCCCGCGGGTGTGGAATGATGAGCATTAGTCCGTTTTGGTTAGTGCAATAAACTGTTTACCATCAGCATCAGTTTTAGTTCACTGCGATAGAAAAAACCTCTAATCATTCAATGTGATACTACTCCATCCGGAGTTGGATCGGGTTTAGTGTCATAAAATGCCGAATGGTGCGATTCATCCGATCGCTTTCGCTTCGTGTGCCTTACAATCGGCTGAAAAGATTACTCACAACTTGATCGAGAGGTCCTATAATTTATCTTTGGTGTCAAGAAATTTCACTAGTCTAGTTATGGCAGTCATTTTGAGATCCAAACTGATCACAAACCGTTGATGTCCCTATTGGGTGAATCCAAGGGGATCCATCAAGTGTTTTCATCTAGAATGAAACGATGGGCCATAATCATTAGTGCGTATCAATACAAAATATCTTACATCTCAGGCTCTAACAATTGTACGGCGTATGCGCTTAGTCTGTTACCGCATGCGACCCCCGTAGGGCCAATAGTTGAACCAGTGGAGTTAGTTCATTTGATACAGTACATGGACACTACCAATTTGACAAGTGACGTCATACGTCGATGGACCGATCAGGATCGCAAACTAGGCTCTGTGATAGGTTTCACGAAACTGGGCTGGCTTAGTAGAACTCCAGCTGATTTGAAACTTTTTGGGCTTCGGAAAAATGTTGAATATACACCATGGTTGCTTATGTTGGGGTTCACGTTTGATTTCACCGGCGAAAGCGCGTTCCTTCATTTTAAATGAACTTCACAATGCGCATCCAGATGTTGCCCGAATGAAGCCCTTTACACTCGGCTATTGTATGCGGCTCGGTTTAGATGCGGAAATTGAAAACTACCTGAAAACCTGTGCTCTCTGTCAACAATATCAGTCGAATAAACCTCCAGCTCCAATGCATCTTTGGCGTTGGCCTGAATGGCCATAGCAACATAGCCATGCAGATTATTTTGGTCCTTTGGACGGAACATTTTTCCTGTTGATAGTCGATGCCTATTCGAAATGGATTCATGTCTAGCCAGTGTCTCACCCTACGGCTGAAACGACCATTTCAGAGATGTGATCACCGTTTTCGGATTACCTGAAACTGTTTGTACAAATAATGGGTCCTGTATTAACCGTAAGGTGTTTGTGAGCTCTGCACTTCTTCGCCTGACACACTTTGTTTCATACTGTGCCTCCTTTTTGCTTAACTGCTGTCTGGGGGCGGGCTTTGTTTGAATTCGTTACTACGTATTACGGTGAAGCAACCCACGATTTGTGCGGCCATGGATAGCATGCGATATAGACAAAGTAACGGATAGCAGAAGATTTCTCTACCATTTCTGCCAACTTGCTTTTCAAATTGAGTTTGGAAGCTCGACTAACCATTAAAGTAATTAATTAATTAGTTAAGGGTATATTCCTCGACAATCCGACTGATTGGTCCGGTTATTATGTACAACAGGATGTCATGGCACCTTTCACAACTGTGATCACACACACAGACGCACACTGGAGATTGGGCCTGATCTAGAGGGACTTATTGGTTGCTCACTAGTTCACATGGTTAGTCACAATTGCGTGCGTATACTTACTTAAACCATATTTTGTGCGATAATACTCTTTGGTGAACTCGTCGCAGTCGCAAATGAGGAATTTACGGCCATACACATTGAGGCTGGCTCCGATCGTCAGATCCCGATCAGTGTAGAAATCTTCCTTGGCTGCCCCCAGCTAGCGTGAAAGGAGAGTTTGAAAACAGACGAGTTTTAACTTCATTTCACTGCAACATGAACTTGCCAGTTTGATATCACTGAGTCACATGCATCCAAATCGAAACGACATTAACTTCAATGTTTTAAGCCAGAGAGGAATTCGAATAACAATGTGCAGGTGTAGAATCATCGAGCGGTTTCATGAAGTCAATGATGTGCTAGGTGTGCAACCAAAAATGTATCCAAATGCTTATGACGATTAGAATGAATGTGCTAGCACAGTGGTCTGTTTGTTGTTCACACTGCAATAAACGTATACGTTGAATGCATAAGTTGCTTTAGCCGAGAAGTAGCCGAAAAGAATCAGCACTCAGCTATAGTACATGTTGGAACCGACAGCCTTACTGAAAGTAGCGCTGGATGTGACGACCTCGTGGATAGAGGCATCAGCCTCCAGCCTTCAGCATCAGCCTCCTGTTGTGACGCAACCAACTATCCCAATGAATTGCCGAAAAGAAATTACGTTTTGAAATGAATGCTTCAAGGAACAGCCAAAACTGAGCAGCCAGCTATGTGAACATCCGTCTCCGATACAGTAACGGTGCAACCGAACGTCCGTGGTACAAAAGGATATCTTCATTAAACTTGTGTTCGTTGATGGGAAAACCATCCACGAAGCATCTGGGGTCACTGTTGTCAAGGTCGGCACGATAAAAACAGTATCAATGCCAAAAGGAAAAAGCGACTGTTGTACATCACATAGCTGGAAGTAACCAAGATAAGTTGACTTACAATATTTTTGTATCGTATCTAAGAGCAGCGACAAAAGCGACTGTAACGGCACGAAATTCCCCAACTTCGCCGAAGAGTTTGCGACGCGTATGTGGCGGAGTGGGGAAGAAAGGCGCACGAGTGCTCATGGACAACTCCGGGATTCACATACCCGATGATCTGGGGAGCGTTCTGCGCTCGTCCTATCATTTAAAGTTCCTGTCGAACTACTCCCACTTGACAACCTCGGCATGCAACGAGAAGGCGTCGGGCAAGTGCCTTCTGACAAAACCAATGCCTGACTAGAAAAATTAATGTGTCAGCTGTACGCCGTAACGGCGCTTTGCTGCCGCGCGACTAGCATCTGTTGCGAGTGGGCTGAGTATACCGCGAGGACACCCGCCCCGACGTAAATTCGAACCGGTGACTTTATGATTGCAAACCAGACGTGCAGATTACTGGGCCGGCCAAAGGATGTCTTAGGAATGCGTAGGAACTGCGTAGGACTGCACGAACTACGTCCCAATCTGATGATAAACTTGACGACTGCAGCAGTAAAACAACCAGCCATCAACTGGTTATCTTCAATACTATTATCTTCTTTTTGACGAACCTCCCGTGTTAAAATAATAAATAATCTCTAATTTGATTACAAAAGCGTCCAGTGTGATTTGAAAACCGTCCGAATTGGTCTAACACTCGTGCAGTTTGGTTCAAAAAACGTCCGGTTTCAAAGGGAAATGATTTAGATGGATTCACCTCCGAGAATGAAAAACAAATGGAAACGAAATCGGCTGGGCTGGAGTGAAACAAACTCGGCAGAAAACAACGCCATCTGAATCGGTAGTGAGACTGACCTGTCCACTTAACACAATCCGCCCTGGGACGCGGTAGAGCTTGTGTCGATGAAAATATTACGTCTCATCATCAGTATCATGCTACAAGTCAGCTGGAGGTAGGAAATATTTCAGCTATCGTGCCGAAATACAACGCAGTAAGGTATTCGAAAAGTACAAAAGAACAGTAGAAAGTACAAGATATAAACAAATAATAGTATGTTTTCTGTTACTATGCGTCGAGTGCTTTTCCGGGCTTGTGGCGGCTTTCTGAGTGAGTCTAGATGTGACGAATTTCTACCTATAACATTCAACTCCCCCTACTATTCTTCTATAACCAGTACGCAGACCAAACTGCTTATAATGCAATATGTTAATTGGCGGCTTAAGTTTGGTAAGCTCGTCACTTGGTGAGGGGGCTACTCCGTACTCTGCATGGCAATAAAGTGTAAGTCAGTGGATAGTGAGCGGCGCTATATCACATCTAGTAACTTATTCACGATGGTCGTTGCCGTCCCCCGTAGCTCAGTGGTCTCAACCACGGACTGGCAACAGTCGAGTTGCGAGTTCGAGCCCTACCAAGGGTCCGATGGAATGCGCACTGCTGATGATTCCCGAAAGGATGAAACGCGCGTACAGTGCTTTTCCGGGAGTGTGGCGGCTGTCTGAGTGAGTCTAGATGTGACGAATTTCTACCTGTAGTTGAATTTATGGACGAATTATAGTTTATCCCCTCTAAGTCACTTTAAATTGTTTCGGAATACTGGTAGCTCGGGTTTATGATTCAGTTATTCAACTGTTCGCTGAACTCGGTAGTTTGGTTGCAAACACTTCGTTACCACGACAGGTGACATCGCCGGTGCAGTGATATGCAGGGCGCAATCTTGCTGATTGAATCGTCGATCCCTCACTCACTCAACATACCCATCGATATCGACTCAGTACACCAACCACTCAGACAGAAAGAAATCGAAAAGATTCAGGACGCTGCTTAAACCAGAACGACTCGAGCACAAACTACAGCCGCGGGGAAAATGTGTAAAGATCACAAGAGATAAATCGAAGCTACTTCTTTGAAAAGTCTTCTGCAAAATAAAAAAGTGTCAGCAGCACGCCGATACGCAGTACCGACGCTTCGCTGTTGCGCAACCCCCACTAGTCGCGTTTGGACGACGGATACTGCGACGGTCACCCGGCCCCCTACGCAAGCTCGAACCACGCCCTCGGACTACAAGGCAGGTTTGTAGTTCTTTAGGCTACGAGGCACTTCGATCAGGGAGCTAAGATTCAATTAGCAAAATTGCGCCCTACACGTCCCTGCTCTGATGATGCCACCTAGCATGGTGGCGAACCGTTTGCCACGAAACTTACAAGCTAGGCGAATAAGTGAACAACTGAACCAAGATTCACTGTAGGGGCAGTTTCTGGCAACCATAGAGGAAAGCTTCGTAGTTGGTTTGTGCAAAGCAAAGCGCGGAAAGGTTGACAGCCTGTGCTAATCTATTCACTGCTGCTTGGCACTTCTGTGAGCTGACACAGTGTAGGGCAATATCATCTGCATACTCCAAGTCAACAAGTTGACCCCTGGAAGCAACTCTACACCTTTCAAGTCGTGTTCAGTAAGTGATACCACTTCTAGGTACCGATTATCGGTTCCCTTATTAGAAACGTATCCTATTTGTCGCAAAATATATCTAATTATTTGCTTACCTATTTATGATTGGACGGTCGAATCGCGGTCTTAGACTTGCGAGATTGTCAGCCCAAGATGGTGTCAAGCATACAATATAAATATAACTGAGCAGCCGACTGTAGCAGTTTGCATACGGTAATCATAAAAAGTTAAAAAAGTTAAAAAGTTATCAGCTCACCGCCGTCATGTATGCAAGGCCTTACTAACGAATATTTATTAGCAGTGTCAACTGTAGTGTTATTATCTGAAGATATCGCACCACCGGTGTGATGAGTTACTTATTACTAATCAAAACCTTGTAAACTTGGTTTACTCTAATACAAAGTTTAATGTGGTGTTAAACAAAATACTTGAAACAGCTGGGTATGATCTTTATGTATGAATAATACATAACTCTAGTATCGTAACGTTCTTTTGGGGTGTAACAAGTTACTGCTGAATGTATGTGTTACAGTGCTGAGAAAACGTTTTCATTCTACTTATTCACAGCATGGAGTCGACAAGGTGAATAATGTTGCTCTACTGGAACGTACCTTGAGGCTATCCAGTATGTAGCGCCCACCTCTATGTGGGTGCCCAAACACATTTAACAGTGTTCTGTCCGTGACCACTCCAGGCAGTGGAATGGGGACCACACCACGCGGCAGCTTCTGTCGACGTAGAAAACATGAACCACCATCACGACCGCAGTTGGCCTGGAGTATCTCACGGATCTCGATAGTATCGTCGGCTTCGGAAGTGTTGAGGGCAAAGTACAAGAAAATGAAATAACAAGCTCTGTGTTGTTTAAAAAGGTGAGGAATCTAATGATTCGCAAGTAGCATAGGGGAATGGTAAAGCGGTTATTAAGTAGGAAAAATAATAACTCAAGCCACATCATCTGTTCATTGGACAGTATTACAGGGACGTTAAGGTTTGGACTCAGCATATAAAAAACGCTTTAACTAGCTTGCCGCGTAACAGATACGTTGTCAAACATCAGCAACTCGATTCGGCCGGTAATGGTTACCGTCATTTGAGTATACAGAAGAGTCGTAATTGATCGATGTGTCATCTTCGTATCACCACTGTTGTGTAACAATGGAACAATGGTCTAATGCGGGCAAAAATGCCAAGCTTAACAGATCCCGCAGGATAGTCATGGTGAAAATTCAAAATATGGAAAATTCGTCAGCAAAATTAGATTCACACCGGTAGACTCACCACGGTATTCGTAGTAAAAAATGTAAATCCACTAAGTCCATAAGGAATAATGACAAATGGGACGTTAATGAACGCTGTGCCCTCTCCTGGTGAACACATACATGGGGTGAAAAACGTTTGACGTATTCTGTGAGTTGACCAGTAGTGAAACCTCTCTAACAGACACTCATGTTTAGCCATGGGCAGTGTGTCATGTGATATGGTGCAACGATATCAGTGCACGGTCAAAACGGGTTTCGAACTCTACCAGCGTGGGAGCACAGATAGCAGATTCCGGCAGGGCAATCCAAGCTTTGCAAACGCGCACGGAAAAGAAATTCCGACGGCATTCCAGACGACTGTACTGCTCTGCCAGCTTGAGATGGTGGCCACTCAAATTACTGTTGTGACTGGGCTCCAACAAGTAGCGGCCCGCGTGGTTGGGATTTTTCAAAATCGGGTAATTTAAAATAAGGTACCCAAGTAATCGCCGATATTTTCTGCCGAAGACTCAGAGCACTCAAAGCCTTCGTTCATACGGCAAACTACACATATTTTTAACATTCTTGATTTATCGGCGTTCGGGTGTCTCCTCAGCCATGGCTGTCAGACCTGTATTGTGTATTCCTAATGTGGACAAATGTATAGCCGACCCGCAGCCTAAAGGTAACGAGCTTGTCTTGTAATCTGACGGCGCGGATTCGAGCCTGCATAGAGGCAGGGCGATTCTCGCAGTATCTTAGCTCAGGTGCGACCGCTTGTGGCTGCGCGGCAGCAAAGCTTCGGTACTGCGTACCGACGTACTGCAGATGCCTTTCTACGTAAATATGAGTCTAGAAGCTGATGAAAAATCGAAAAGTCGAAGCGGCGGAATGCACGCCTCAGGAGGCTTACGTGTTCGATGCCCCTTCTTGACGCCTGTTCAGCATGATTCGAAGATCCAAGGTCGGCCTGGACCAAAACTCCAATCCTTCTCGCCAGAAGACGTTTGAAGCTCGTGGTGGCCGAGTTTGTAGGGGTAGACCAACTTGTGCCGTAGGTGCAGCACTCTACAGTTGTCCACAGTGAATCGAAGTAGATAGTGGAATGACCACGTGTAAATCCTATCCAGGTCGGACTGAAGTACTGTGATATCCTCTGATGTATTGATCACCCTCCACAGCCTGATACCACCGGCTTAAAGCAGGCAGTTTAAGATAATGAGGCATATGAACTCGTTGCTGTACGTCAAAAACAACCGTGGTCCCAGCGATAATTTCTGCGGTACTCCGCGTTCAACTTGTATTTGATCTGATAGGGATTCATACACTCTTACCTCCAAGCGCCTGTGTGGAAGAAATCTTCTGATCCATTCTAAGAGAGAATCACTAATACCAAAGGTCTGTAGTTTGGAGAGCAGAATGTCGTGGTCTAACCAATCGAAGACGTTTAAGAAGTCGATAATAGCTATATCCACTCCTGTGCCAGTGTGGAGTGTACAATGCAGCGATACTTTCGAGCTTACAATACAGTTGCGAAACATGGCCCCTTAGATCAGCATACATAAAGAGGCTAGTTACCTTCGACCACCGTGCCTTCGCATATTGGCTAGCATCTGATGGGAACACCGCGTGAGTAACGAGCGTGTTCGACGCCTTGTTTACGGCACAGGAAAAGGCAATGAACCGCTCAGTACCGTTATTTCACGCACCAGGCTTCGATGGCTCGGCCACGTGTTACGCATGCCAGCCCATCGGCTCCCGCGACGTGCGTTGTTTGCGCGCCGGGGCTGTGGGTGGAAGAAGAGGAGAGGCCGCCAAGCGATGACTTGGTCGAGAGGAATGAAGGCCCTCACTTTGGAGCTGGCCTCAGTTGAAGCTTCTCGGCTCCCTGGTTGAGCTTCGAAAGACGATGAACACGTTTGGCTGGATATACTTACTGACATGGTTAGGAGCCGACCTCAATGGCGTTCGTGCTGTGAGTTTCTTTGCCCCTTCCCATCCCTCTTGGCCTCCCCTCCAAGGACGACATTATTTCTTAACATAATAGAATTTTACATAATATTTTTTGTTGCCTAGTATTCAGCTAGTAGCTTTCCGGAACGATACCCATCCGTTATTGGTAACTCAGCTGGCATACATCGGTAGCATGATGTTTACTAATTTTTTTCTTTATGTATTGCGGCTCAGTACTTGACGTGTTTTCCACCTCAAGCTAATGTGTCTAATGAACGAATGAATGAATGCCAGTGCATACTACTTCGGTCCAGCTGGATAGTGCAAGTAGTAGATTTGTAGTGCACGATCGAGTTCGTCGGAAACCATGCTGTTCCGGGGCAAGGTGGGTAAATGCTTCCAAATAGGCCGTTAGCGCAACAAAAGTGATAGGTCCCGTGATCTTTGAAAGCACCGGTACTAAGATTACTGAACCCTAGTTGGCTGGATCGGAACGACTAGTTCCCTTGGGAATTGGAGTAATCCACCCCTTGTTTTTACATATCGGCCACATACATTTCGTCAAAACAGTGTTGGAAGAATCGATCCAAAGGCCCAGCTAAACTCTCTCTTAGTAACGCTATCGATTTCGTGTGTATATTATCAACTCCAGGAGAGCTGTGCTTACGAATACTCAACAGATTTTTCAGTACAGCTTCTGCTGTGAAAGATGTGTGTGTGAGTTTTGGGAGTGAGACAACTGTTGTCATTTGGTCTGGTGACCGGTGTTAGTGCTGAGATGTAGCGATATACCGCAGGCACAGAGTTTTCGACGCATCCTTCGGAGTCCCTGTGAGTCCGTCCGCTGTCTGAAGAGGAGGAATTCCGTGTTCCGCCTGACTTAGACTGTTAACTTGTTGATAGAGAAGTTTGTGGTTTGAAGTCATACGCAGTGCCAACGTCTGCTGGTATGACATTCTATCCTTGCGAAAGAGCGACACACATGAACGCTTCGATCTAAAGAGAATATCGACTATCACCATCCCGGTCATAAGTTCCTGGTTGGTGAATATCCGATCCAGTATAGACGGCCTACCTGTTGCTGTGAGTCTGGTTGGAGTATTGATGTGGCCATACGGAGAAACTGGAGACAACCACTTATAGATCCGCCTTAAACTGTTACCTTGGAATGGCTTGGGACTCCAGAGAGTAGGTGTTGAAATCGCCAGTGATAAGGATGTGAGTGCACTTCTTGTGTGTAACCCACCTTAATGTGGATGCCAGATAGAAGTCCATCTCGGAGGTGGAGGAGTGAGGGCGGTAAAGGATCAGCACAAACAGGCGTCGTCGCTTTTTAAATGCAAACGACACCAAAGGATCCTGCAATGTGTTAACTGGATCCTCTATGAGCTCACATTGGAGGTCACTGCGGAATTACAGCCACCACTCTAGTTTTGCTGGGTCAATCGTACCGTACAACGGACATGCCTGGCAGTGTAATCTCGATGTAATTTATGTCGGGACGTAACCATGTATCAGTTATAGCAATGAAGTCACAGGTCTTTGATCCTTGACGAAGTCGCAACTCGGAAATTTAACTAACTAAGCCGTGAGCATTAGTGTACATACATGAAAGCTTCTTGGATGTCAGAGCTCTAGACGAGGAGAATATCAAGGATGTGGATTTGTGCCTACGGATGAGCGTGGCACTTAATTGTTTTTTGGGTGACTTGCCAAATTTTGATATGAATGCAATCTGTTTTTGGTCTCAATTTCACCTGCGATATGTAGTCCACATTTAGCTTTCCCGGTAACTACTAGTCTTAGTGCACAGTTTTCTAAATCGCTGTTTTGGTTATATTGAGTCACGGTTGGTGTCGTCTCCGCGAGGACAGCGAGTGGCTACAGTTCTCTAACTGCTGTATTTAATCGTAGTTCCGAAGGAAATGTGTTACGTAGTGTCCGCCAGCTGCGGATTAAATTCACCGCTATCTGTTATGAATGGATTATTAGTTTCAGTATCCTCGGGCTACTGCCTTTGTAATCATGTAACCGACTGAAGCATAACGTCACCAGCACGGAGAGCTTCACGGATGTACCGCCATTGTTCCAGGTCATGAGCATAGGCTTCTTCATCACTAGATACCGGTAGTTCGGGCACGCCAAAACTGAAAATGAATCTTCTTCTACTCTACAATTAATTATAGTTGTCCCTCTGGCCTTCGTTTCATGGAACATCCGGGAATATGCATATCCCAGTCTTCAGTCTGCAGACGGTATGCCGATAAAAGCACCGTCTCGACATCAGCTGTGCATCCGATGTCACTTGTATTAGCCAGCAATCCCCGTAGTGCATCAAGGTTGGACGTCTAGTGATAGGTATTAAATAAGTCTGGCCTGAACTTCAATTCTATCACAAAAGAAATTCCACTGCTACACCTCGTCCTGCTGTTTACCCCTTAAGGAATTAGCCTTAGACTCAGGAACGTTGGTGCATATAAGTGTCAAGACGCCGTAGTTTCGCCTGGTCTCCGATGATGTAAGAGGCACGGCCCTCGGGCGCTTTAGCGACGTCTCTACAAGTTGCACCTGGTCCTTGAACTGTGTTGTGGCTGTGCAGGGCGAGGCTATTAAA